CCAGCTGTCTGCCGTCCCCATCTCCCCACCATCCAAGCCTGCTGCCATCAAAACTAAGCTCGCAGCCACCTCCATCAAAACTGATCTTCTTCTTCACGGTCGTCGCTTTCTCCACAGCTGCAAGCCGCCTTCGCCATCATCCACGGCCGAGTCCACCGCCGCTGCCATCTCGTCGCGAACCAGACCATCACGGCTGAGTCCTCCCCACAACCCATCGCCGGCACCACCTTGCCCGAACCAGCCCGTCCTCACCGACAGCTATGGAGCACATTTGTTTGTCAAATATTTTATTCATATAAGGCTGTGTTTGGTCAAGAGGGACGGAAAGAGAAATGACAGAGAGAGAGAGATGAGATGAGAGGGTAGTTTGGTCATTTTAGGTGAGGATTAAAATATATCTTAGGGCATATTAGACATGTCATATTACTTAAGGTTTTGGCTCCGTTTTTTTTTAAAATGGGGTGTCATTGTTCAAGTTTGCAAACTTAGGGGATGTCTTTGTTCAAAAAGTGGCTAAGTTGTATATGATTATCAATATAGCAAACTTTAGGGAGTGTCGTTGTAATTAACCCTAAATGATAGTATACTTTAGCATAACAAATTTTCAAAGAGAAGCCAAATTTTTTAAAACTGGATCTAGTAATCTTAACATCTTCAAATAAAAAATAAAAAAGCTTCAAAACTAAAGCTCGTTTGTTTGTACTTAAAATATTTTTTAAAAAATATTTTTTTATTTTCTAATGTTTGGTTGTCGTAAAATATTTATGAAGAAAAAATATATTAAAATTTAACAAAAATAATTTATCAATTAATTTTCGACAAGTTATTTTACATGTCGGTCCAATGAACTCGATCTCGACTTCTACCTCTACCTCGACGTAAATTTTTGCCAAACACCAATAAAGTAAAAATAAAAAAAATATTTTACCTTAAAAAAAATATATATATTTTTCGAAAAGAATATTTTACACTAAAACAAACATATCCTAAAATAGAAATAAAGTACTTGGAAGAAAAGTTCTAATGTAATATGTTAATTTGTTTTCTTGTTATGTTTAGAAATTCAAAATTAGAAAAATTTGTACAAATTTTAAAATAAATATTTTTCAATTCAAATTCAAATTCCCCATTCATTGCTGCTTTATCAGCAAAGTTGTGGGCTTTTCTTGGACTTCTGTACGAAATGTGCTCAACATTGTGATCAGTATCCAATCCACATGGACTAAGTTGATTGCTGTTTGTGCTCAATAGTGGATCGGTTTTTTTTTTTTTTTTTGGGCAATAAAAATAGACAAACGGCATCTACGAAATACAAGCAGCCAAAACAACAGGACACCGAATCCTAGACAAACAAGGTGCATAAGCCAAGTGGGCCAAGAAAGCACATAACTCACATGCTGAAAAGGGACATGAAAAAAGATCAGGTCTGTAGCACCATTAAAGAGTCCCATCAGAATAGGGTCCATTGAACGGAGATAGCCGTGGTCAACACGCCAACACTAAAGCATCATTAAAATGTCAGACTAAAAGACTACCTCTTAATCAAAAGGGTAAAATTGTCAATTTATATGTCCGTGCTAACCATGATATAAACCCACAAATATACAATGCATGACACATGTACGTACATTTTATTCTGACTCAACCACGTGAAGTCTGTTTGTTAACGTTATATGAGGACAAAAAACATAGAACTGTGTGTATGTTTTTGGTGGTAAATATACGTACTTAGAGAGAGAAAACAGGAGGGAATCTCTGTTGTACTTTTTAACCCCGTCACGAGCCAGGCGCGGTTTATTAGAACGTAAAATACTGAGTCAGGTCCGGTTTTTTAGGACCTAAAATATTTTTTAAATATTGAGTCAGGTCCGGTTTGTTAGGACCTAAAATATATATTTTTTATTTTTTAATTTTTAATTATCATAAAATATTTAGAAATAAAAAAAATTAAAAATTTAATAAAAATAATTTATTCATCAATTTTTGACAAATTATTTTACGTGTCTCGTTTTATGAACTCGATCTTGTAATAATTTGTTAAATATAAACAAAATAAAAATAAAAAAATATTTTATCTAAAAAGAATATATTTTTTAAAAAAATTATTTCACGTCTAAAAAACAAGGGAATAAGAGCCTCATATATTGGTGAACAGGAAATAAAATGAAAGCATTAGAATGTGTTGTGTGTGGTTATCTGTTTGGAGCATTTGATTGTGAGTATAAAGATGCGTGGACTGTATATATAAATTCTAAAGTGAATGCACAGAAAGTCAATTTGATTGTGAGTATAAAGATGCGTGGACTGTATATATAAATTCTAAAGTGAATGCACAGAAAGTCAATACTGTACCATGCATTTATTTTGAGACAGGGAGTATATGAGAGAGTAGGCTAAATAGGTTATGATTAGGTGTCTGTGCACTTAGTTGTTCTTAGGGGTGGGTGAGTTAATGTATTTATTTATTTATTTTTTTTCTTTTGTTTTTATTTTCTCTTTCATTTTGTTTTCTATTTTTAGTTTTTTTTCTTGGTTTTTTTTTTTTTTTTTTTTTATTTTCTCTTTCATTTTGTTTTCTATTTTGAATTTCAAAATAAGACTAATTTGTAATTTATATACCCAACAAATTTCTTTGAAGTACATACTTGATGAAGTGGCCAAACCAACGAAGAACAAACTAGTACTATACTGAACTGAGGGGCTGTTTGACATGTGTTTTGTTTTGTTTTAGGCTTGTTACAGTAACCCTTTTCAAGCCAAAAACATGTTTGGTTGGGCTTGTTGTGTTTTAAATAGTAACAAAACAATTTCAAAAATGGGCCAAAAACATGAAACATCATTTTGGTGTTTTTAGTTGTTTTTGTACTGTTTGGGCTACATTACACTGTGGCGGATGAAACAATTTGCTCATTTAACTGTAGCGGAGGAAACACATATAAAAGGCAAAATTCGTCATTTTCTAGGGTTTTGGGTGCGGCTTCTATTTGGGCGATTTTGGGCGACTCACAAAATCATCTCAGCATCCCCAATCGCCTCCAACTCTATTCTTCTTCTCAACTCTGAACTTGCCATCTCTGTCTCTGCAACTGCAAACTACTGTAGTCCACAAGAATCAGAAGTTCAAAACCCATTTACTTCAATTTATCTATCTGTCTATAAGAATCAAAAGTTCAAACCTTTATCAAAATCCATATCGGCATATCATTTCAGATTGCTCAAAAAATCAAAACCCATATCTTTTAGTTTCCATCGCCCACTGTTCCAGTTCCAGTTCGCCGTTCGCAAGCTTCTGCCGCTGCCCGCTGTCTCTCAACTCTCAAAACCCATGTCGGCGTATCATTTCAGATTGTTTTAATTTTTTTTCTATTTGAAATCAAGGTCTGTAATTCTTGTTTTAATTTTTTTTTTTTTTGACTAAATCAATTAATCTATGGAAATAATTTTTTTTTTGGCTAAATCAATTTGAAATCAAGGTCTGTAATTCTTGTTTTAATTTTTTTTTTTTTTTGGCTAAATCAATTTGAAATTAAGGTCTGTAATTCTTGTTTTAATTTTTTTTTGGCTAAATCAATTTGAAATCAAGGTCTGTTATTCTTGTTTTAATTTGTTTTTTTGGCTAAATCAATTAATCTATGGAAATAAATTTTTTTTGGCTAAATCAATTTGAAATCAAGGTCTGTAATTCTTGTTTTATTTATTTTTGGCTAAATCAATTAATCTATTGAATTTTTTTTTTTTGGGCTAAATCTGTTTTAATTATGATCTTTTTTATATGATTTTTATTTTATTTTATGAATTTTAGTTATAAATATTTGTGAAGATAATGACTGAAATAGATCTCTTGCAAACAACTTGTAAACAGGATAATAAAATTGAAAATAGGTTATTGCAAAAAAAAATTGAAAAAATATTGACAATATTTGAATTATTAAAATGTGCTTTTTATACATTTTTATAAACAAATTATAAAATTTGATGATATAAATTTATTATTTCATAAAATGTAAAATTGTAACAGGTAGAGTGACCAAACATGTTTTGCAAGTTTTTGTTTTTGACATTTCTATAGTAAAATATAATTCTCAAACGTGCTTCCAAATCTTTTCTAAAACACTCTTATAACAAAAACACTATTTTTATTTTAATTAGAAATAAAACAAAGCGCATACTAAACGGGAGAAATAACCCAAGCACATTTAATGAACTGGCCAACTTTAGAAAAGGCCGAGCACAAGAGAGGAGTTGGGTCCACGTGTCTTGGTCAATGAGGGTAGAAAAGAATCTTCCAAAACAATGAACTAATCCGTACACACACTCATAAATGATACATGGAGTCATACACACACATATATATACACACACACACAAACACACCCACCCACCCATACATTACTTTAATTCCACTTTATTGCTTTTATACGGGCATCGTCAATGTTTCATCACTATTTGCCAAAAAAAAAAAAAAAAAATGTTTCATCACTGTGGACTTCCTCAGTTTTCTTATAATCATGGGAACCATCGTCCATTTTGATGATCAATATAAATTACCAATAAATTTTGTACCTTTTCTGGCAATCTCATTCGTTGCACACCAAGTCACCCTACAATGGTTACACGTGTCCAGATCCAACGGTCAACTATTCATCACATAACTTACACGTTTCCAGATCCAACGGCCAACATTTTTATCTTTTGCTACAGCTGTTGGTGACTGGTGAAGTGTTCTTGATTTAAACTAGAGTAGTGCTTCACGAGCTCCTTATTTTTAGCCGCACGATGTGTTTTTAAGATTCGGAGCATTAAAAGAAGCAACTGACTTCCCTCTTTCTCTCTCTGTCTCTTCTTTGCTTAAGCACTGGGATTAAAAGCTGAAAAATTTGAGAGAATTAATCCAGCAGTCACAAGCTGAAGGATGGCACTTTTGGGTTCAAAACCCACTTCCAATCTCGATCCGTTGCAGCCAAATTGCCCTTCCCGTCACCGTCGTCAGGTACAGGAAAACAAATTCTTTCTCTTTTCCTATTTCTCTCTCTTTGTTTTGCTTTTTTTTTTTTTTTTTTTAGTCAGTCATCTATCTTTGGGTGAAAAAAAAATCTCTCTTCGTTACCCTCTGTATCTCTCAAACTTGTAATATTTTTGGCCTCCCTTTCTCCTGTCTATGAACAGCCACTAACCACCACCATCCTCACCCGGTCACCCCCAAATCACCGCCACAATCTCCACCCCGACAAACACCACAATCAAAACCCACAAAAAAAAAAAAAAAAAAAAAAAAAAAAATCAAAAATCAAAATAAAAAAACCACCGCAACAAATCCAACACCACCATTGCCGCCATGGATTCTTTTGCCCGATCTAACAATTTTAAAGTAGAAGTAGATTTTTTTTCTTCAATCAATTTGGTTTGAATCTGTTTTTTTTTTTTCCTTCCTCTGAGCAGCAAAAGAAGACACGTGTGTGTACATATATATATATATAAGAGATGAAAAATGGAGAAAGGTTAGAGAGAGAATAAAGGCTTTGGGCCGCTCGGGGAGGAAGAGGAAGGAGAAGGAGAAGGAGAAGGAGAAGAATGAAAATGAGTTGCAGAGAGGTTAGAGAGAGAGGAGAGAGAGTAAATCCAGAAACTGCTGTGCCATGACACAGAAAAAATTAATAAAAAATTGAACTAATACTGTATACAATAACAAACAAAGGCAAAAGAAGAGAGAGAGAAAGTTGGGTCGAGGGTTAAGCAAAAAGAGAAAGTTGGGTTAAGGGTTAACTGATCAGCTTTCTTAATGCTCCCTAATCTAAAAAAAAACACATCGTGCGGCTGAAAATAGGAAACTCGTGAGTGCTATTGCGAGCATCCATACTAGTTTAAAGAGTAGTGCTATAGTGCTACTGCAAGCACTACTCTAAACCACAAAATTACAAATAAGTTAAAGAATAGCGCTACTGCGAGTTTAAAGAGTAGTGCGAGAACTACTCTTTAAACTATTTGTAATTATGTGGTTTTACCCTTGTATGGTCACCATCGAATCTTTTTATCATCGCACCCACTTATATCCTCTCTCCACTCCAGCAGTCTTTCTCGTCCCATCAAAACTTGTTTTGGGCAGTTGCTTTACCCCCACCCCACCATATATATATATATATATAGACACACTATGCTCTAACCTTATCTCACACACACACTATATATATATATATATATATACACACACACACACACACACAGACACCGTGCCAAGACCCCTTCAGCCAAAACTCTCTTCAGTCTTGATTTCAGCCGTTAGCCAAGACCCCTCATCCACAAGTCACAGTCACAGCTTCCTCTGTACCTCACGGCCGGTAACAACCGACCGTCGATGTACGATGTACGTTCAGTTCAGCTCAGTTCCGTTCTCTCTCTATGTGATCGAGTATTCCTCCTCCTTCCATCAACCTCTCCGATTTAAGACTAAAATTTTCAGTTATTAATAGCAAATTACTTTGTTTTCCTATTCTTTTAGGTTGTATATCTCATTTTCTAATCATACATTTTTAACAAATCTGATTTTTATTTTGTTATATCAGGTGCAGGCTGTTGAACTGTGTGGAAGAAAGTTTGTGGGCATGGGTGGTGTTGGCAATAGGTATGTGCAGCCATCTCCCAATTTCTTTAGAAACTTTAATTTTCAAACACAAACTAAAAACTAAAGTGATCTAAAAGTCAATGAGACCACTATTCTTAAGTTTCAATCTGCAAAAACTGAAACCCACCTTATGACCCCTAATGCTTGCATCCTTTCTCTGTCAACTAATGAATTCCTATGATCCTATCCCATCTCTTCCTTCAATGTCCCCCTAATAGCTTTAGCTGGCTATTTTTAGTGTAGTGGGCTTCTTCCATTTGGACAAACTTTTCTTCCTTCGATCCTGGTCCACAAACTAGGCTTAGCCGCTTGTGTCCATGGTATTTACCCCAAAAAACCCATTTGTGCTTTTGTATATTCTACTCCCTATATTTGTCTATTGTATCTTTGGTTTTTAATATCTGCTTTTCCCTCAAATCTTGGGATTGGATTTATTGTCGTTGGAGATTCAGATAAATGGGAAAAGTTGTTGGCTAAACTCAAAGAGGTGGCATTTGGAAAACAAAAGCCCTAAAGGAAAAAGAAGCCTGTAAGCCTATGCCATCTCCATCTACGCCTACATTCAGCTTCCTTTTGTCACCTTAACAGAATGACACCGAGCCATTAGCGCAACCCGTGCTACTTTAGTTTTGGTACCAACAATTTAAGAATTGTTTTCCCCTACATGCTGAATTTCTATGCTTAGAAGATGGAATATTAATAGCTGAAGTGGAGGCCCACCATCTGCTCTTGAAGGGCGAAGGTGGTCTTGCGGGAGACAATCATGATTGCTGCTTCCATTATTCCCAGAGTTGCATTAACTTCAGTCTTAACTAATGTAGAATCGGCATCATTTGACCAATACCTCATAAACCCTGCCATTTGCCACAAAGAAAGAGTGAACGAAGTGAAGTGACCCGCCGAAGGGTGATTCTTAGAATAAGGAGGAGTAGATACAACAGAGACTTCAATGCTTTTCAGTTATAGTTCAACAAACTTAATATACATCCAAGTTTATCCAAGTCTTTTCAGAAAATTTATAGTGACATTGTGTTAGATTTTTCCTATTGAAACTCATATGGATACATGCATAGTGTTGGTGTATGGTAGAATAAAGACTTTAAAACCTATAAACCAAAAAATTGCTAATCACGAGTGTGTTGTCACTGAGGTGCGTCCAAACACTAAGAGCATGTACATACCATTACGGAAAATGCATCCCCAAGAAAGATTTGTCAGAAATTAGGGTGGGATTAGACAGGCTGATAGGGCTGTAGGCTGGGCCTATCAAATCACAAGGATTTTAGAAAGAGAACCCTGCAACCTATTTCATTTGATGTATCAGAGCAGGAGGGTGACAGCTTCAAACGACTTTTGGATTGGTTCATTTACAAACAACCAAAACCAATAAAAAATTGTCATAATTCTAATTATTTTTTTATTTTTTTTCAAGGCAAGCAATGTTAGTGTTTCAATTTCATTCAATTAAAATTTGCTATTTCATTTGGTTCATTGTCTGGTTATTTTGATTTAATTGATTGATGGTGTTGATTTCTTTTGTTACATACAAATACCGACATCCTCCTTTCCCATCCCACTTTTTCCCATCAACCAAACAGACACTTCTTCCTCCAACCGGAAGAACAATTCCGATTAGAGTTTCAGAAGGGAGCAGCCTATGGATTCCAACAAGCAAGATCTTGGAGTTCAAGTAATATACTTTTAATTCTGAATACGATTTGTGTTCATTCTTAAATGATTTCTCATATCAATTTTATTTATTTATTTTATTTATTTATTTTTCTTCTCTCTCTCAGATTTCTTCCAGTTCCAACTTAGGGACGGTGTTCAAGGATGATCTCCATGGTTGGCGTTTGGAGGGAGAAGCTCAAAGTATGAAGGAGATATCCCTTCTGGAAAGGATTGTTGTAAATATTATGGACTCTATTCCTCTTGCTTCGTTCAATTCAATTTCTTTAATTAATTTCCTTACATTTTTTTTTCTATGTAATTACCCTTTTAGCTCTAAAATGTATATTTTAAAAAATTTGCAGTTGAAAATGGAAAAGGCAAGGGAAAGAAGAAGAAGGGGCAACTGGTAAGATTTAATAGTGCCCTCATATGTGAATTTTTATTGTATTTTATTTTTGTATGATTTTATTTGCTTCTTGTTATATTATTTTTTATTTTTACTCAAAAATTGTTTATTAATAATAATGGTGAGTAATTGAAATAATAGCTGTTATTTGGTGTCTCAAAATGTTCAAAAGTTCATTTTTGGAATGTTCACTTTTGGAATGTTTTTGTCCCTACCCTGCAACCTATTTCATTTGATGTATCAGAGCAGGAGGGTGACAGCTTCAAACGACTTTTGGATTGGTTCATTTACAAACAACCAAAACCAATAAAAAATTGTCATAATTCTAATTATTTTTTTATTTTTTTTCAAGGCAAGCAATGTTAGTGTTTCAATCTATGTTACATGGACTCGGGTACAGGTGTCGGACATGGGTATGTATCCATGCGTCAGACGTGTCAAATCTCCAAACAGAAGGACACACGGACACGGCTAAATATTTATTTTATTAATTATTTTATTTTATTTTCTAGAGTAAAGTAATATTTCATCTAATATAATGTTCAATATAGGCATTTAACTCATTTTAAAGTAATAATATAATGTAATTGAATGATTGGATATGTTTTTTTAAGTACATGTCCAACCAAAAGTGTCGGACACATATCCCATACCCATGTCCGAGGGATACGTGTCCGACACGGGTACTTCACTACTTTTGAAGAGTCCATGTAGCAGAGGTTTCAATTTCATTCAATGAAAATTTGCTACTTCATTTGGTTCATTGTTAATTGATTGATGGTGTTGATTTCTTTTGTTACATACAAATACCAACATCCTCCTTTCCCATCCCACTTTTTCCCATCAACCAAACAGACACTTCTTCCTCCAACCGGAAGAACAATTCCGATCAGGGTTTTAGAAGGGAGCAGCCTATGGATTCCAACAAGCAAGATCTTGGAGTTCAAGTAATATACTTTTAATTCTGAATACGATTTTTGTTCATTCTTAAATGATTTCTCATATCAATTTTTTTTTTTTTTTCTTCTCTCCCTAGATTTCTTCCAGTTCCAACTTAGGGACGGTGTTTTTATGCTCTTGGGGTTGCTCGCAATTGGAGTATCCGTGATCTTCTATGATGATGAGACAAAATGGAAGGTAGTTCATGAGATCAAGGATGATCTCCATGGTTGGCGTTTGGAGAGAGAAGCTCAAAGTATGAAGGAGATATCCCTTCTGGAAAGGATTGTTGTAAATATTATGGACTCTTTTCCTCTTGCGTCGTTCAATTCAATTTCTTTAATTAATTTCCTTACATTTTTTTTTTCTGTGTAATTACCCTTTTAGCTCTAAAAGGTATATTTTAAAAATTTTGCAGGTGAAAATGGAAAAGGGAAGGGAAAGAAGAAGGGGCAACTGGTAAGATTTAATAGTGCCCTCATATGTGAATTTTTATTGTATTTTATTTTTGTATGATTTTATTTGCTTCTTGTTATATTGTTTTTTATATTTACTCAAAAATTGTTTATTAATAATAATGGTGAGTAATTGAAATAACAGCTGTTATTTGGTGTCTCAAAATGTTCAAAAGTTCATTTTTGGAATGTTCACTTTTGGAATGTTTGCATTTCTCATTTGCACATTTTTGTCCCTTCCATTATCACCAGAGTTGCATGAACTTCAGTCTTAACTAATGCAGAATCGGCATCATTTGACCAATACCTCATAAACCCTGACATTTGCCACAAAGAAAGAGTGAATGAAGTGACCTGCTGAAGTCTCTGAAGGATGAGAACCATGTAGCATCTACATCGAGAATTCAAGTATTGTATACGTCATTAGTCCAATCCTTTGTAGGAACTACCCGTAATAACGAACTTGCAAAATGGATCTGTTTATCATAAAGAGGTTCGTCGTTCCTGACCCTGCTTCACCTTAATTGTTAGTTGAACAAGTAAAAGTTTTGTCTTGGTCCGAGTGGGGATAGCATTTCTCTTCTGCATGTCTATGGAGTTTTGAAAAATCCAAACATCTCAGAGATAGATAGAGAGGTAGAATGATTCTTAGAATAAGGAGGAGGAGGAATAGATACATCAGAGACTTCAATGCTTTTCAGTTATGGTTCAACACACTTAATAAACATCCAAGTTTATCCAAGTCTTTTCAGAAAATTTATAGTGATATAGTGTTAAACTTTTCCTATTGAAACTCGTATGGATACATGCATAGTGTTGGTGTATGGTAGAATAAAGACTTTACAACCTATAATCCAAAAAATTGCTAATCACGAGTATGTTGTCACTGAGGTGCGTCCAAACACCAAGAACATGTACATACCATCACGGAAAATGCATCACCAAGAAAGATTTGTCAAAAATTAGGGTGGATCCCACTCCTAGACAGGGTGATAGGGCCATAGGCTGGGCCTGTCAAATCACTAGGATCTTAGAAAGAGAACCCTGCAGCCTATTTCGTTTTGATGTACCAAAACCAAATAAAATTTGTCATAATTCTCAGTTTTATTTTTTATTTTTTTAGGCAAGCAATGTTAGTGTTTCAATTTCATTCAATGAAAATTTGCTATTTCATTTGGTTCATTGTCTGATTATTTTAATTTAATTGATTGATGGTGTTGATTTCTTTGGTTACATATTGAATGAGATGTGTATTGGCAATACAAATACCGTTTTGTTTAAATCTCTGTTTCACCCACATCAGTTTCAAACTGATGGCAATGCAAATTTCTGTTTCTTTCGATTATTATTATTTTCATTTATACTTATCAAATTGATGGTTTATTGCAGATTGGTAGTATTCAGGGTTTGTGATTTGTACGAGGAAAGGTGTTGATGTATGTCTGTTGATGTTATTTTTCTGAAGTTGTTTGCATGAATTTTGATTTTAGGAAAAATGGCTAGACATTATTAGAATATGTTAAAAAATATTAATCACAGTACTTTTTGTTTTTTGGAAAAAAAATCTTCCCCCCAAACTCAAGCTGCTGCCCCCGCTAAGCTTGTATCCTAACAGCTGAAGGTGGTTGTTTAATACATATATGCATGCCTGCTGTGTCAAAAGGGGAGGATGGTTTAAGCTTTTGCTAAACGAGCGCATTTCCTTTTGTATGTTTCTATTTCAGTCTCTCTAGTTAGTGACGTATTTTACCTTTCTTGTGACTATTGGGTGGTTAAAGTATCTCGGCTGGAGCAGGTACTGTTTAGCACCAAGGAGGATTCTCCTTTATAGTTCTCTTATTTGGTTATCTTATTTTATCGTCTAATTAGTGTTAAATACATGGTATATTTTGATTATAAATTGTTAAGAGAATTGTATAATGCTTGTAGGATTGTGTGGTTAAAGTATTAGAGACTTTGAAGTGCTAGCATGAATTAATCCTTTTAAGTTGATTTCGCAATGTTACATATGTATATAGATGAATTACTTGATATCATGCCATATTTAGTCTTGAAGACTTTGGACATGGAATGCTTGATATTGTGTGTCCCACGTCTAAATGAAATAAAAAAACGAATGCCCACGTCTCTCTCCTTGGCACTTTTTAAATATGATAAAGTTTTTTGACGAATCTGTCAAGTATATTGTATTTCTAACTTGTAATATCTAAAATTAAATGAAAGATTATGTTGTATGGGTCTTTTTAGATTATTTAAAGTGGAAATTAAATGTTTAACCACTGAGGCATGGTCCAATATGTCTGTTTTGAATTTCGAAGTATAAATATTATTTTGGTTCAAAATGCAAACACTAAACTACAACTTTGTTTAGTGTGCTCATTTTAGTTGTTTTTTGTTATTTTGGAATAGGTACTCAGAAGGATGCTGGCACAGTAACTCCCGAAGTTGGCAGCAAACTGGAGGCTCGTTATCATTGAGTGTTGCTGTGTCTTTCTTCATCTTTAACTTGTTTTCTTGCTTCTGTATTGAAATCTTGACATTGTGTAAGAGGCAATGAAAATGGAATTGTAGAGTTTTTGAAAGTTAGAAATGGATGGAATTGGTAAAAGATAACATGTTTAATTTTGCATAGACAAATGGATGAGTCAAAACATGTTTATAGATTGTGATCGGACCAAAGACCCTATCAGTTAAGGTAGAAATATGAAAAGAAATGGGTAATAATGACAGCCTTTGTGGTAATCCCGCATCGGTTAGAGAGAGGTAAGCTGGGGAAAGAGCAGTGGCTCATCTTTAACTTCTTACCTTGCTTAGCTTCGGTATTGAAATATTTGCATTCTGCTGTAAATATTTATTTAAACACACTATATACATTTTTGCCTTTTTAAGGTTTACTGATTTGGAAAATTAATAAAGGGCACGCAATACACATTTTTTGTCTTAATTTTCGTAAACAAATTCTCTTCAATTTTTTAAAATGCAGTTTCGAAAGGGTTGGATGTGAAGCCACTGCGATCTATATATGAGAGATCTTACATATCATAAGTGACCTTGTATATTTTATACATATTTTAAGAGTCCGATGGAGATGTATATATATCTTGTATATTTTACGCATATTTTAAGAGTCCGTTGGGGTTGTATATATACATCTCCGACGGACTCTTAAAATGTGTAAAATATACAGGGTAAATGTGTAAAATATACAGGGTAACTTATGATATGTAAATTTTTTTTATCTTCAACAGTCTGTTAAAATACATTATCAAGTATGTAAAATACACAACTTTTTAACACTGCCAGATCAACAAATTTTCTTTTTCATCCTTCTTTCTCGTTCCATTAAAGAATTAATCATATATTAGGTAGGCTTGTAAAAGTTATGTGGGGTCTTTGCATGACACATGGTAGATTGTCATTAAGAGATATATTTTTACACAAAAGATATATTTTTACACAAAAGAATAAAACAATCGTTGGAGCTAAAATTAAATAATACAAAATTTTTGTGTAAATTCATCATGACACATTAGATTTACACAAAAAAAAAATACATAACAGTTGGAGATGCTCTTAACATCTTTAAATCAAAAATAAAAAAGCTTTAAAACTAAGGCTCCGTTTGTTTGGATTTAAAATATTTTTTTATTTTTTAATGTTTGGTTGTCATAAAATATTTACAAAGAAAAAATATATTAAAATTTAACAAAAATAATTTATTCATTAATTTTTGACAAGTTATTTTCCACACTCTGTTCGATGGACTCGATCTCAATTTCGACGTAAATCTTTATTGAATACCAACAAAATAAAAAAAAAAAAAATATTTTACCTGAAAATAAAAAATATTTTTAATCGAAACAAATGGAAATAAACTATCTGTAAGAAAAGTTCTAATGTAAAAGTGTATGTTTGTTTGTTTTCTTGTTATGTTTAGGAATTTGAAATTAGAGAAATTTGTACAAATTTTAAAACAAATTCAAATTCCCAATTCATTGCTTTATCAGCAAAGTTGTGGGTTTTTCTTGGACTTTAGTAGGAAATGTGCTCAACATTGTGATCAAGTAGGAAATGTGCTCAACAATGTGATCAGTATCCACATCGACTAAGATGATTGCTGTTTGTGCTCAACAGTGGTTCGAATTACAGTGCTTGGATTTGGAAGAAAACGTTAGGAGTCTGTGTTGGGAAACGTGCAAGTTTTAAAAACTTTTTGAGGGATTTTGATTCATAAATCTTAATTCATCATATAGAGACAAGTTTTATACAAAAATAAAATATGAAGTATCATTCAATTAACAGATTATATACTTACATCAAAGGTGTGATACCCCCAGATTTCCGAATGCGGGTTGGCCAGGCCCACACCTGAATACCCGAGAATATCAAAACAAATTGATGATAAACGAACACAGAGTACAAAAGAATAAAGAAGAATAAATAAAATGCTGATAAGAAACTAAAATAATAATCTAATAATAAACCTCAGAATATATTTCCATTAGTTAATAAACTCTACTGATACAACTGATCCTTCAAAATACAACTCGGGAATCCATACTGTGTGGACCCCTAGAAAATCCAAACTAAACAAATGACAGCAATAACTGTCTAAATCAGGAAACTGAATCATAAAGGAACTCCTTTGTAGCATCGGAAGAATGAAGTAGATTGATCCTCGCTCAGCACGAATAACCTCTACTCCTGACGAACACCTGAAAAATAATGGTGGGTCAGGCCCACAAACAAGTTATACTCTACTACAGTCCAAGCAGATATCCGATACACGTATACATCCTAGTCAATCCAACAGTAACTAGTATTCCGTATATATATATATATATATATATATATATATATATATATATATATATATATATACACACACACACACACTAAAGGAATCTCACTAGACTATAGGATTGTCTCAACCTTTATGGTAGGCAACACGCAAAACGCACATATAGTGGGCATGAGTACCTAGACTTACCAGGGTACACAACTACACTATATCTAGCTACACATCCCTAGCAATATACGCACCCTAACCACTGATCCTGAGACTCAAGCTCATATCATGGCACCATACTTATATATATATAATTTAGTAACCATCCTATCCAGTATAAATTAATCCTCCATAAGTCATTCAACTTGTTCAGCTGACCTGACTTGAATATAAGTAGGACTTAACATTTTAGTTAATCCATTCTTTTATATAATAAATTAATCCTCCATAAGTCATTCAACTTGTTCAGCTGACCTGACTTAAATATAAGTAGGACTTAACATTTTAGTTAATCCATTCCCTTATATAAAATAGGTAGGACTTAACTGATAAGTTAATCCGTCCCTAGAATGCCACCGTCCCATACCGGTGCATTTAACCACATAATATAATAATTGCTATAACGATTAAGGAAATATATCAAATAATCCAGAAATAACTATGATAATATGATATCAAGTTATCACAAAATAGGAATGACTTATTATTTATTTAAGCTTCCTATATCATATGTCCTACACAAACTGAATCTTATACATGATGATATTTTATTATACCGTCAAATAAGCATTATCCGTATCCAATTCATCCTACACATTTAATCTCAATTGCTTAAACATATTAAAAGATTAAATTCATTCGTTTGTTTAAAACATTCAAATAGGAAGCATCATTATGATTGAGTCTATTTAAATTTATTTAAACCCAAACCTAGTTCCTATTTAATGTTCAGGAATCCTAGGCATGTTTCTACGTTCCATCATTCCACAGATATGAAAAAACACATAATGTAAACATATAAAAATTCACATCGGAAATCAAATCAAAATCATGCATTTATCAATTCATAACACAAGGGCAGATATGAACCAATTTCATAAAACCTATGTTCTAATCCAATTAAACATGCATAATTATTTAATTTTATGTGTTTAATAAATCCTGAAATTTCCTAGGCATGCATAGAAAAACGAATCAAAGGGAAAGAGATAGAAGAAGAACTTGCCTTAAACTTTCGGATCGAAAGTTAAACTTCTTCTTCCTTGATCTTCTCTCTATAGAATTTTTCTCCTCCTTCCTTCCTTCTCTAACTCTCTCTCTCTAGAATATATCACGTGAATATTTCTAACCCCCTTTTACAACCTGTAGCTATATATTTATAGACTAAATAAAATAACCCTAACCCTTTTCCCAATCCAAGTCAACTTAAAAAAAAATAAAAAAAATAAAATATTAAAAAGGTAAGTAAAATATGCGTATATAATTTATGTATATCTTTATTAAATAAATAAATTATACACATCCCATTATTTATTAATGGATTATCCAATAATACTTAAGTTACCATAATATTATAAAGTAACTTAAAATATAACACGTATCAAATCTATGTATATTTTTATTATTTAAATATAAAACATATACATCAGATTAAATATTACTACCCAAGTTACCATAAAAGTAATTAATAAATTACTTTCTCTTTTATATATATTAAAAAGGTAAGTAAAATATGTTACGTATATAATTTATGTATATGTTTATTAAATAAATAAATTATAAACATTCCATTATTTATTAATAGATTATCCAATAATACTTAAGTTACCATAATATTATAAAGTAACTTGAAACATAACACGTATCAAATCTATGTATATTTTTATTATTTAAATATAAAACATATACATCAGATTAAATATTACTACCCAAGTTACCATAAAAGTAATTAATAAATTACTTTCCTTTTTATATATGTATATAATATATATCTATATATATACATACACAACTATTCACGGGTAATAATCCATACACATCCAACCTCCTATCCAAGTAGTCTATGGGACCCAATTGGTTGGCCAATTACCACTAACCATAACCATAAAAGAAAAATAAAATAAAATAATAAAGAAACGAAAACATTTAATTTACAATTAATCAAAATACCATTTAAGTACGTAATCTAATTAACAATTAACACATAGACAAATACAAATAATACATAGACACATAATCAAATAATCAAGTAATACCTAATTCAATTAAATACATAAACAATTAGTCAAATAATCAATTAAATAATTAAAAGTATAATTAAAATAAATAAATAAATATCGAGACTATCCTTTTAAAATTAGGGGTATTACATTCTTCCCCCCTAACAAAAGGAATTCCGTTCTCGGAATTCGCCCTTACTTTCTTCCATTATGCTTGAAAATTATGAGCAAAAAAACATCCTCATAGTCCTAAGTAGATGCAACCTCACTATGAGGGCTCCACTTAACTCCAATATACCAAATGGTATACAGGGTTCCTAAATTTTAAGAAACACAATAATCATACAATGCATAGGTTGTATCAAATAACAACGTAATCCTCCCATGTCGACAAGGGAATGATCTACATAGCTCTAAGTGCCATAGAATATACGAACAAACTCCTATGCACCCAGCGCTAATAATTTGGTAACGCTAATTCATAAGCGACTGCCTCAATTGCAAAACACAATCCTCTAAAAGTCAATGTAATAAGTAAAATTAACCTTTCTCCAAAAATCGTCTTTCTTCCTACATGGAAAACAGAACAAGCAAACTATTCCTTG